GGCACGCACGCACACGTGCCGGGCGTGAGTTTTAAGTCACCAGGTCCAGGATGCGAACCGCGGTCAACTACACAGGAGTCCAGCGACATAGCCATTACGCTAACTGCTGGTCCCACCCTATCTTTATTCCTTACTTACCCCTTTTATTTAAATCTTTTTTAAAAAGTATGTGCTCATGAATTGCTTTAATAAAAATACTAGTAAATAATAAATAATTTGGATGTCAAATACTATTTTAAAAGGATATGCTAAGTGAGAGATAAATACCATATGATCTCATTTGTAAGTGAAACCTAAGATCAATGCTAAACTCCTAGAAATAGAGAATAAAACAGTGGTTCAAAAACATGAGAGGAGGCCAGCAAGTGACACAGTGGTTAACATGCTGGACTCCCACAAGGTCAACCATGATTCGAGTCCCAGACCCGGAGGCTTGAAACCACACCAGGTGTGTGCACGTGTGTGCCCAAAATCCCGAGGTGGAGAATGAAGGAGAAGAGCTTGCAGCATGGCTATCCCCCCGGGGGGGTGATTTCTCACTGTCCTTTCACTGTCTCAGTCTAGCTCTCTGGCAAGCACATGCATCCTAAGGCAAAACTTCAATGGGAAAAAAAAAAAAGAGACCTATTTATAATCAAACGAACTTCATATCTTAATGTCTAAGCAACATAGCTGTATAATTTATGCTATTAGTCAGTCTTACTTTATACAGGGTTGTCAGAAAAGTCACTTTTACATAGAAAAAATACATCATGACTTTTCTGACAACCCAATAATTAGTTTCTATACAAAAATTTAAAATGCAACAAGAAAAGAACATTTTGACCCAAGGCTTTAAAGAAATTTAGAAAATACTATTTAACTAATTCATCCAGTACTAATTTAGAGTATAAAAATAATGGAGAATATTTACATCTTAAAAATGATCACAGTATTCAATATTTAGAAACATAATGTATAAAAATACTTTAGAAATAACTAAAAATGCCTATGGAAATATCTGAACAGATATGCAATTTACTTTCTGTTAATATGTTTATGAGATTCTTACTATGTTCTAGGCCATTTTATTTGTGTACTTAAACATACTCACTTGATTTAATGTATTATCTGTCTTTAGTTCTTTGTGATTCGAGTACTGGATATAAATCGGTTGGTTGCGAAGATGAGGTGTCACAGCAGAGTAGTAATTAACCATAGTAATAGCTGCTTCCTCTGTTGCCAGTTCCAAAAAAGCCTGAAAATTTAAATAGCAAAAATTTTAATAATATGAATTAAATTCAATAAACACTGCAGTAAGAATTGGAAATTTCTTATTAAAGTTTTTTAGGTATATAATTAAAGCTAACTTCAAAAGTAAACTTGGAGTGTATGTGCTTCTCTGTCTGCCATCTATACTTTTTTACACTACACGAATCTATTTCCCACCAACAAAAGCTAGAGAAAATGTAAAAATTTTCTAGCATTAGAATTTTATCATTCCTATCCTAGAGAATACAAATGACCTCAAAGTCATTTGAAAAGCATATAATTAAAAAAAATCAGTAATTAAATATCAGATTAACTGTAATATTCACTATATCCAAGGGAATGTTAAATTTAATAAATTCTAATTAAAAATTTAAATCAAAATTGCATATTAATACATAGGGCTCTAATGCTACAGTTATACCTACTGAATGAAAAATATCCAGAATTAATGACTAATCTCTCTGCTAAAAGTACCAGGTAATATTTTCAAAGGATAATCTTAAAGATAAAGTGCTTAGTTCCCCTGCTGATTTCTGATACCATGAAGAAAAGAGCCACAAAAAAATACTTATATTTTTACAAGCTCACTGTAACAGCTGTTCAATTACAGGCCTAAGTTCAAAAGGCAAAGTTAGAAAACTATGGTGATTCATTCATTTGGGCTACCTAGCATTAGTATCCCACATGCAACTACCAGGAAAAATTTAAGACTTCTGTTACATCCTTTCACAAAATTAACCTACTATATTCTACCCTTTTATTAGATGATAGTTAATTTGCACCTGCTGGGTAATTTGGGCTTTAACATTTTATAAACTCTTAAAGAAGTCATACCTGATTTTTTCCTTTTAGCATAAGGATATTGGTCACCTTACCAAAAGGTAAGCCTAAAGCAATAACTTCAGTTTCTGTCACTTCACCAGGTAATTTTCGAATATGAAGTACACGAGAAGGTGTACCATCCATTTTATCTTCTCCTTTAAATTTTTTACTATCATTACCATTGGCTGAAAGACATTAAACCATAACCGTTAAGCAACAATAAAATAATCTACTAATTTTCCTTATTTGCGTAAACAAAACACAGTTTTTAAAAAATTGAGAACCAGCAGTTAGCGTAATGGCTAAGTCACTGGATTCCCACATAGTCGACTGTGGTTTGCGTCCCGGACCCGGTGGCTTAAAACTCACGCCGGGCGCGTGTGCATGCGTGCCCAAGATCCCAAGAGGAGAATGGAGGAGAAGGGATTGCGGCGTGACCATCCCTCTGGGGAGTGATTTCTCGTTTTCTGTCTCTATGTCTCTTTCTGTCTGTCTGGCAAGCGCACGTGCCCTGTAGCAAAAACCTCTCCAAAAAAAAAAAAAAATTAAAAACATAGGTGAGTATATTTGAGTAATTCCTAAAAACCCAAAACCTGAGCTTTCAAAGGATGGAGAAAATCAAGAAAATCATGCTCATTAATTACTATTAAATGAAGTTAAGTTATCCACTAGTTAAAATTGCTGTTAAGCAGTATATTTCTAAACAGTATATATAAATAATAAGTGATAAGCAAATACATTAAGATGCAATTTCATTTAAAAAAAAACCTGTCTAGACTAAAGAACACAATTATCTTGCAATTTAATCCTCTTAGCAGACTAGCAAATACAAAAAAAAATTGGGTTGGGAAAAATAAGGGAGATTATAAATGCTGTATTCAAAACTGGGATCAAAGAAGGCAATGCTATAAAAATAATTAAACAGTCAAGCCACATTATGGAATAATTTACAATGAGCCTCTCCTAATTTGTTAGTATTATCACCTAATCAACTTATTGGTATTTTGTGGCTATTACTATCAATATTCTATAAATCAGTCAGAAAGTTAAACCTATTTGTTACTTGAAAATTTTCATCAATAAATTAGTTACCTGCCATCATTCCCAAATATCACCTAAAATTAAAACCTTATCAAAGATACCTATAAAACAAGTGATGCTTTGGGCTGGTCCAAGGGTCTAGGGGTTAAAAGAGCTGGATTCCACCTGGCTGACTGTGCTATTTGAATTCTGGCCCTGGCTATGTGTCAAGAATCTATGTGCCCCACATCTCAACAGGATAGAGAGAAAATGACTGCAGCATGACCATACCCCTTTAGATGTGTTTTCTCCCTCTTAACCTCTCATATGAGAGCCCATGCCTTCTGGCAAAATAAGGAAAAAAAAAAAAAAAGGATTATTTGAAAAACTGTGCAATCTATCCAATAGTCTTAGTCTTCTAGGAACTCAAGAGATATCTCCAAGACTAACCAAAAATGAAGAATACTCATACATTAAAAAACATACATGTACATTCAATTTGTATTAAATTTGAGGTACTCTATGGCATTCTTGAAAGCATTCAATACCACCTATAAACAACAGAAAATGTGTGCATATATTTAACCACGTCTATAATTGTCTAAAATCATCTTAGTCTATAGGTGTCTTCAAACTTCACCCACTCACTGATTTTTTAGTCTTCTACTGAGTATATGGGATATGTCTGGTACTACTTCAGGCTCTGGGGAATACAGGAGTGAACAAGATGAAATGATATTCTACAGTCTAGGAGGAGATGTAAACTAGCTAGTCCATGAACCAGATAGGGACTGCAACATGGTCATCCTCCCTGGGGAGTGATTTCTCACTTTCTGTCTCTCCGGCGAGTGTATATGCCCTTTAACAAAAGTCTCTCTCAAAAAAATAAAAGACTGATTATCTGCTCCTTAACTACACAGAAATATAATCACATAATATGTACTTTTTTGCACGAAATGTGTTTTGCTTCATATATTTCAAAATGACCCATGTTTTTGCATGCACTGGTAGCCATTTTTGGTTATTAATGAGTAATCCTCCACTGTATATCATAATTTATCAATCTTCTTACTGATAGATACCCAGTTATTTCAAGTTTGAGAGTATTATCAAAGAAGTTTCTGATACACATATTCATACAAATCTTGTAGTAAACACGTTATCAATGGGCAAAAAACTATAAGTAGATGAAATGGATTGTAAGGTAGGTATGTGTTTAGATTTTTAAGAAAATGACAACTATTTTTCCAACTATTTTATACTCATACGAGCAAGAGAGGATAATTCCACTTGCTCCATATCTTCATCAGCATTCAGTGTTGCCAAACTGTTTCATTTTAGCCACTGTAGCAGGTGTTAAGCAAGTCTGGTATGTTTTATTTTTTTCCATGAGAGAGACATCCCGGACATGATCTTCACGTCATGAACAGGATGTAGTTTTTTCTCATGTGTTTCACATAAAGTAATTATTTGAAGATTCAATCTTGTGTGTCTATCAATAGCTCACTCTATAGAGCTGCAGCATTCCATTAAATGGAAAGGCATACAATGCCAAAACAGCAATCTATCTGTCCATTGTCTGATGGACATTTGAGTTGTCTCGGGTTTTCGCAAGTATAAGTAAAGTTCCTTTGAACATTCATGAACAAGTTTTCTAATGAAAATATGTCTGCATTTTTCTTGATGATGACTAGGAGATAAGAAGCTGGATCATACAATAAGTGCACAGCAACACTTTATAAGGTCTGCTTAATTGTAGTCACTCTAAAAGGTGTGTAATGTCTCCTATAGTTTTAATCTGCATTCCTCTAATGTCTAATGATACTAAGCATCTTTTTTATGTGCTTATTTGTCATCTCTATATCTTTTTTGCTGAACTAACTTTGAATATTGTGGCCAATTTATTAAACTGTTTGTCTGGCACTGCTGAGTTTGTGTTGACATATTCTTAATTTATAAATATTCTGGAAACAAGTCCTTTGTCAGTTATATTTGTAAAGATGTTCTGCCAATATTGTTGCTTTTTTTTTTTTTCCTCTTAATCTCTTTAAAAAGCAGAAGTTTAAAATTCTGATATTAAGTCCACTGAGCTTTTAGGATTATATCTAAGGAATATTTACCTATCCTAATATCACAAATATTTCCCATATTTTCTTCTATAAGTTTTATAAATTTCAGATTTTACATTTAAAAGTCATGGTCCAGTCAGAATCACCTTTCACATGCAGTATGAAAATACAGATAGAAGATTATTCATTTATTTATTTGTATATGGATATAGCTGGATATAGCCAACTGCTACAGTACCCTGTCTAAAAGTCTACTCTTTATCCACTAAACCAACTTTGCACCTTTGCCAAAACTGAGTCATACATAATTTTGTGGGTTTATTTCTGAATTCTCTATTCTGTTCCACTCACCTATTTTTCTTAATGTCAATGTGTTTTAAATATTGTACTCTATGGTAATTCTTGAAAACAGGTAATTAATGCTCCAACTTTTCTTTACTAACTCTCAGTTATACTTTTTAATATGTTTAATTAGAGACAACACACAGACTTTAAATATGCTCCATTAACTTATGAAATAATTTTTTTAAATATTTTTCTGTCATAGGGCACATGTGCTCACCAGAAAGATAGGGAAAATGGTAAATCACACCTCCCAGGGAGATGGCCACACCATAACCCCTTTGCCATTCTCAAGATTCTGGGCACATGCGCGCGCACACAGGGCGGTATTTTTCAGGCCCACTGGGTCTGGGACTTAAACCTGCAGAGGTGACCCCATGGGCTCCAACTGCCTTAACCACCACACCACTTGCTGCCCACATGAAAATCATTTTACATTATAATTAATGCTATAACCCTTCATGTAAAATATAAGAACCTTCACACAGTAAAATTCCATTTACCCTTCTTTATTTTGTGCTGCTGCCATATAAACATCTATATACCCAATAAACCCAATACAAAGTGTTTGTTTATATAAGTAGGATTAAAAGAGAGCTTTTGTAAAATTTATACACGTATTTACCATGTCCAGTACTCCCTGTTATTCCTGTGGATTTAATGTCATTCCATTCAGTCTGAGGAAGATAGTTTTTCCCTTTTTCAGTGCAAGGTGTTGGTCTCCTACTAAATGCCTTTTTCCTGGCTGTTTTAAGGTTTGCTCTTTATCCTCAGTTTTGAATATTTTGACTATCTTTTTTTTTTTTTTAGAGGTTTTTGCTATAGGGCGCGTGCATTCGCCAGACAGAAAGAGACAGACAGAGAGACAGAAAGCGAGAAATCACCCCCCAGGGGGTGGTCACGCCGCAATCCCTTCTCCTCCATTCTTCTCTCGGGATCTTGGGCACGCACACATATGCACCCAGTGTGAGTTCTAAGCCACCGGGTCCAGGACACGAACCATGGTCGACTACGTGGGAGTCCAGCGACATAGCCATTAACACTAACTGCTGGTTCCCAATATTTTTACTATCTTGTACCTAAGTTTGAATCTTTTATTCATCTGACATAGGGGGCTCCTTAGAACTATAAATTGGATTTTTCCCCTCGAATTTTAAGTTTTCAGTCATTACTGCTTCAAATATATACATACATTTGAATTTACTTATTTAGTTCTCACTATTCCCTCCTTGGAACTCCAATTACACACATATTTTGAATGCCTGATTATTTCACAGGTTATGTTTTATTCTCTCAGGAAGACTAAATAATCTGCATTCATCTATATTCAAGTTCACTAACCTTTCTTGTGTTAGTTACAACTCTCTGCTATTTCCAGTGAATTTTTCATTTTGAATATAGTATTTTTCAGATAGAGTACTTCTACATGCTTTCTCTATAGCTCTTTACCTCTTGTACATTTATCCATCTGCTCACTTATTACTTTGAGCTTTTCCTTTATAGCATAAAATTATACTTAGAAGTCTCACCTGCTAATTCTAACAACTTGGTCATTCTGGAGTCTGCTCCTCTTAAATGTTTCTTCTCTAGTTTATGGATTATTTACCTCTTTCTTTATATGACTTACACGTTTTGATATACCAGATATTATGGATGACAGTTACAGGAAGACTGAATCAGGTTATCTTCCTTATGGAGTATACTGTTTTGTTTGATAGGCAACTAAACAACTAGTGAATCCTTCATATCCTGCTAGCTTACACTTTGAGTTTCTTTTTCTTTTTTTTAATTTATTGTTATTATCATTATTATTTTTCAGTTTGACCAGAGAGAGACAGAGAGAGAGAGAAAGAGAGGAAGTGAGAAAGCAAGCCACCAGGTCTGAGATTTGAACCATGGCCGGCCATGTGGGAGTCCAGCGCCCTTAACCACCATGCCACTTGCTGGCCCCACACTTTTAGTTTCTTCTTACTTTTTTTTTTTTAATTGTACTTACTATGGGATGTAGTCTTTCTTAAGGCTTTGACCCTTTTTTTGAGAGAGACAGATTTTTGTTATAGGGCATGTGCACTCGCTGGAGAGAGTCAGAAAGCAATAAATCATCCCCTAGGGAGGATGGCCATGCTACAATCTGTTCTACTCCATTCTCTTCCTGGGATTTTGGGCACACACGCACACACACACACACACCCCTGGTGTGATTTTTCAACCTGCCAGTTCCAGAACTTGAACTGCAGTCAGTCATGTGAAGTCCAGAGCCTTAACCTCCATGCCACCTGCTGACTCCAAGATCTGGACTTTCTGTAGTCTTAATAGAGTGCCTGGTGCCAAATCGTGGCAAAGCAGTAATGTAACACTCTGTGGAATACTGTACTCATTTGTGATGTCTCAAATTTGCATCCCAAGGCCTACCTATATGTGCCCACATATTTGTCATCTAGGCAGGCTAGAGGGAATCATGTGGTATGAAGACCCTGTTGGGAGTGGTCTGTCTTGTATTTATCATATAAGAGATAAATGATTTAAAAAAAAACCCTCTAATTTATAAATAAGAGTGTCTGAGGTATCCTACAAAATGTCTGCATTCTGACTTCCCCAAATCCAAGGGTCTCAGGGTCCTAACCAACCTACAGAATTACCATTTAACTAACTCTCTGCTCCAGAACAAATCATTTCTGACAGACTTTGCTAAGTCTTATTCCTATACACATACAAACCCAGTCATTATCCAAATTTCTGGGGGTGAAATTACACACCAAATTCTGTCTCCTGCTCTATGTCTAAACCCTTGGTCAACTTTTTTTTCTCCAGGACTCTTCCCAACAAACCCCAGATGTCTGAACAGTTTTATGTGCCAACCATTAGTCTCTTTAGCTCGATGAGACCTCTCTGCTCTGCTTGGGCTCCATTTCCCTGTCCTTGAGCAATAAGGTCTCCCAAGGCAGGGGAATCACCTCGTATTTCCCCTTTTTCAAGGATCATGCTTTTGTGCTCCTCATCAATTTCACACAATAGTTGTTCTCTATATTTTATTCAATTATATGGTTTTATTTTGCAGAGAGGGAAGTGGAAAAAGGGACAAGGCTGCTCTCAGTTATTGTCATAACTATAAATAATAACTTTTAAAAATTCGTATTATCAAACACTACATGTACGAGAAAGAAAAAAAAGAACAACTGATAAAGCAGGGTTATAGACATTTATGTGACTATAAATATTTGCACATGGTAGTTAAACGATCAAAATCACGGCCAAGTTGCACGGCCACATTAACAAACACTATAGAAGTTGCTACTTGGCAGGCTGAGAATATGGAAGACCTGGTTCAATTTATGCCTTCTCTCTTAAAAAAAAATAAAAAAGCTGGGTGCAGAGAAATGAACCATAGTTTCCACTACTCAGGAAGCTTAATCAGAAGCGATTACAATGAGGGGGGGGCACTTGCTCCAATGCATGACAGTAATAAAATGCTTAGGATAATGCCAGATCCCATATGGCAACTGCAATTCATGTCCCTGGCCCATGGCGTACTGCGTGCACATACAAGTGCCCAAGATCTTACAGGCTAGAGGATTGGAAGAAGAGGATCACAGCATGACTAGACCTTGTAGAAGGTGCTCATCTCTCTCTGCACATAATCTATCATAAATTTAAAAAATATTTATATATACACACATACATGTGTGTATATGTGTGTGTGTATACAAATATATAAAATCATGGCTTAGTGATTGTGCTTTGTAAACACTACAGAAAAATCTAAAATAATGACGTGTTGGTAAATTCACCTTCATATCATTATGACTACATTTGGTCAGCACATCATATAATTTTCAGTTAACTGAGTTGTTAGAGATACATATGTTTGCCAAGGTGCATGAATACACAAGCAATTGCTACCTGATGGAAATTAAAACGTCTCCTGACTTTAAAGATCCTTTCACTGAACAATAATTAGTTCCACAAGCAGGCAATTCAAAAAAGGATATTAAAAAAATAAAAAAAGATTTCTGGTTTCAAGCAAGTAAAGTGATACATAGGATTAGAAGGTAAATTCATTCACCGTCATCAGGTTAAATATTTGGTTCTACTATAAAAAGAAAGTCTAAAAATTAGTCCATATTTGTTTACAGATGGACATGATAATCAGTTATATTATGTTAGACATATATAATTTAAGGAAAGCGCTAACTTTGAAGATGAAACATATAAATCTTCAGTTTCCAAGTAGCTAACACAAAGGAAATCAATATGAGGAATCAAAATAGTGTTACAACAACAACAAAAATGCTAAAACCACAGAAAGAAAACAATCATAAAGTTACTTTTTTTGTTTGTTTTTATTAACAGTTTGGGTTATAGGGTTTGCTGCATACAAGAGAAATACCTAAAATAAAAATTCTATGGCATACAAACACAAAAACACGAACAGCATGGGTGAGGAATTTTTAACATGAACGAGAAAAGGTTGTTACCAACTTCGATTTTCTCACTCAGGACATACATACTCTAACAAAATTCTCTCTAAATTGTTTCAACACAGCATTTAAATATAAAGGGTACTTTGATATGATAAGCTAGATTTTAATTTTAGCATTCTGCTCCATCAAATGGCAAATAATGACAGACTGTACACTTACCTGTAACTACCATGCTGCTCATATTAGAGTTTGGACTACTGAGAACACTGCCTGAGAGCAGTTCGTCAGATCCTCTCTATAAAAACAAAACAAAATAGGATAAGACATCTTAATTTTTTTTGGGGGGGGGGAAGGAAGGTTTTTGCTATAGGGAATGGGCGCTTGCCAGAGACAGAGACAGACAGAGAGACAGAAAGCGAGAAATCACCCCCCAGGGGGGATGGCCACACCGCAATCCCTTCTCTTCCATTCTCCTCTTGGGATCTTGGGCACGCACGCACACACGCCCAGTGGGAGTTTTTAAGCCACCAGGTCCAGAACGTGAACCATGGTCGACTACATGGGAGTCAAGTAACATAGCCATTATGCTAATTGCTGGTCCCAAGACATCTTAAAATTTAAAAATATTAATCTGAAGTCCTGTCACTTAACTGTAACTTCAAACATTCAAAGAAAAACAAACATCGAATTAATTTCATCTTTTTGTGCTCCTTTGTCCTTCCCTCTCCCTCTTCTAAGAAAGGCAACTGCTCCCTTTTCCTTGCACCCAAGTTCAAAAGACAATAAACAGGAAAAACAATTTAGCTTTTCCGATTTTTCACAAACTAACTTGACAATTTTCTCTGAAAAGTTCTGTGAATCTTCATCCCAATAGGCACTTATACATCCACATAACTCAGGTCTTTAGAAAACTAGAACTGCATACTGGTGAGAACTGGGCATCATTCACTTCATCATTATTAAAATTAAAGCTAGGTATATACTTATTTGGTCTATGGCTACAACACTGAAAGTAAAAAGCATAATCTGTGAAGTGAGAAATTTCTTTCTGCTAAAATAATAGAGATTGAGTTATGTCCTACCATGTTCTAAAATTACTTAGCAAAAAGATTTTAAGCTCATAGATTGGAAACTGCACAGTTGTCCAAAATGGACAATAATATATTAACTATTTTAAAAATGTAATTATTTACAAAAATATATGTGAACAAACTAATATTTAAACTAGTTAAATAACTGTTTTGCCTATTTTAATGATGTGTATATTTAAATACATGGGTATTAATATATAAAATAGTTAAATCAATACTGGCAAATTTAAACAATAAATCAATACAAAGATGAATGTGATTACTGAAATAAAGTGATGAGATAATTTATCGAAGTGTTTCAGAAAGTCCAAAAAATCCAAATTTACCATAAATTTTATGATTCTAATTTATATTTAAACTGCTAATTAACAGCCTGTATTACAACAGACATAAAAATGATAAGAACATGTTCATAGGTCATCTCTTCTTAATGATTTAAAAGCTTTCTACTCATTAATCAAATGTGAAAACACAACATGAGAAAAATGAAAACGTAGTTTTAAGCCACATTAAACCATATTTACACCAAGTCCAATTTCTAATCAAGGTATGGAGGATTTAGCAAGGAATAGTTAGTTTTACAACAACATGATGAGCAAAATTAGATACTTTATAGAGATTCTCAAAATATGGTCCCCAAGACTAGCTTTAGACCTGGAAACCTCTTAGGTGATGTATGATCTCAAGCTCATGACCTAATGAATAAAAACTCTGAGGGTGAGTCCAGCAACAGTTTTAACAAGCCTCTAGGTGCTTGTGATGCATACTAAAGATTACGAACCAAAGACATATATTATTGGGTCACTATGAACAATAAAAACCATTTCCTAGTTTTCCTTATGTCTTCATGGCAAATAAACAATATGGTATTAAGATAAAGGTCTCTGGAGCTCAGCTTCCACCCATCAACAATATGACAAACTGTACTTAGCCATTCTAAGCTTTAAATTCTTCATAACATTTTATCACAGTCCTTAGAATTAAATGTGATGATACATGGCAGTGATTACTAAGCAAAGTGCCTGGTTCACATCAACACTGTTCATAATATTCCCAAGTGTCAACCAAGTACAAGTTCCACACATATTTGCTGACTAAATAAATGAATGTATTTTGATTACTCACAACAGCTACATATTATTTCCGTCTGTATTCTTGTATCAAATAACGAAAGTCAAACCCAGCCACGTGCCATAGTGATGGGATATCACTATACTACATTGGAGCTATGTGGAAGGACCCAGGGTTTGGACCCTAGGTAGGTTTGGGCATATCACGAGCATGGCTGTGATACTAGCTAACTGGAGTAGTAGGGAGGCCTGTGGCATATAGGGATCTCTGTCTAGGTCCCTATCTCTGCTTTCTCATAAAACAAATAAATAAATTCTTAAAAATATATAAATAACTGAAGTCAACTTAGTTCATACATAAAAGCAAAGCTGGATTCTACCAATATATTGAAAAGTCCTAGAGTTAATAAAGTCATCCCATTCTTAAATCAACAACAGAACTCCAGATCAGATATTCTAAAGGTAGTAAAAACCAAAATCAAAACCAAGAGATTCTAATGTTTAACTCCACCTGAATGAAATTCATAAACCCTTCAAAGATCTTCAATGCCTTATGTCCTTAGTTCTCACAAGTACTTTGAATCACAACCACAAGCAGTATGGCACTACTGCATGGGCTGGCACCACATGGGAGGCCCAGGTTCAGATCCTGGACCAACCTGAATAGGCCAGGCACAGCAGCCTGCCCCTGTAATTCTAGCTAACTGGAAGGATAGGGCAGATTTCAAAGGCAAGGCCCTTTCAAAAGTACCTCTCCCTCTCTCTCTCTCTGCTCTACTCATCCACTGTGCACATACGCTTTCTCAAATATTAAACAAAATAAAATAAACCAAAAAGAAACCCTAATTACAGAAACAAAAAACCTTTGATTCCTCTAGATCTTCAAAGTATGTATGACTTCTTTTCAAGTGTTTATTATTAATTTATTCTCTATGTATTTGCTTACTTGCAATATATTGAAAAGTCCTAGAGTTAATAAAGTCATCCCATTCTTAAATCAACAACAGAACTCCAGATCAGATATTCTAAAGGTAGTAAAAACCAAAATCAAAACCAAGAGATTCTAATGTTTAACTCCACCTGAATGAAATTCATAAACCCTTCAAAGATCTTCAATGCCTTATGTCCTTAGTTCTCACAAGTACTTTGAATCACAACCACAAGCAGTATGGCACTACTGCATGGGCTGGCACCACATGGGAGGCCCAGGTTCAGATCCTGGACCAACCTGAATAGGCCAGGCACAGCAGCCTGCCCCTGTAATTCTAGCTAACTGGAAGGATAGGGCAGATTTCAAAGGCAAGGCCCTTTCAAAAGTACCTCTCCCTCTCTCTCTCTCTGCTCTACTCATCCACTGTGCACATACGCTTTCTCAAATATTAAACAAAATAAAATAAACCAAAAAGAAACCCTAATTACAGAAACAAAAAACCTTTGATTCCTCTAGATCTTCAAAGTATGTATGACTTCTTTTCAAGTGTTTATTATTAATTTATTCTCTATGTATTTGCTTACTTGTAAATCATAATTCTTCCAACCCAATGCATCACAAAAGTGATTGTGGACAATACTGGGTCTACTTAAGAATTCTTAAAAAGCCTATTTTCTACAATGCATCTTTATACATGGAAGTCTTTTTATTTTAAAAATTTTGTCTTTGGGGACAAGAAGATGGCATAATGGTTATGTCACTGGATTTGATCTATGTCCCAGGGATCTGTGAGGTTTCAGGACTTTCCCCCCTCTGGTGAAGATGACAGCCTAGGTAACCACGACAGAAAGACATTAGGCAAGAATATGAATAACAAGCTCCTGATGAAAACCAAATTCCCAGAGAGAAAGATATACACCCAAATGATTATATTTTTTATCTCCTTGAACAAAAGAGGTACTACCAAGGAAATGAGCAGAGTACTACCTATCAAAGGCAGGAAAACCATTAACTCACATAATCAACAATAACAACAACAAAATCTGACTGTGTTTTAAAACAAGACAGGGTTAGCCAGTGGCTTCATGGTTACGGTAACTAGATCCCACATGGCCAACTATGACATCTGAAACTCAGACCTGATGGCATAAAAAACAGGCTGGGCACATGTGCCTGTATCCCCCAAATCCCAAGAGGGCAGAATAAAACACGTTTGTGGTGTGATCATCTCCCATATTGTGTGCTTCCTTAGGTCTTTTCCCTCTCTATCCTATGAATATGCATGCCCTCTGGCAAAATTTAAACAAAACAAAAACAATGACCACAAAATAAACCTTCTGGAAGAACAATAAAGAAAAAAGGGCACAATATATATTATCAAATTATGGAGCTAAGAAAAAAAGCCTAAGAATTAGTGAAGCAAGATGAAAAAAATTTGGCCTGATGAATAACATGGAACACATTGATTCCATTTTGGCTTACAGGAGAAATAGAGTTTTAGACCATTTATGCTGTGTTCTACATTTTGTTACAGTAACTTAGCCTTTACACTAAGATACATAAATCTGTACTGTGGAAAAAGTTGGTGGTGCACACTTAATTTAATTGAGTATCTGTATAGGGACCAGCAGATGGCATAGCAGTTACGCTGCTGGATTCCCACATAGTCTGCCATAGTTTGAGTCCTAGACCTGGTGGCTTAAAACTCACACCAGGAATGTGTGTGTGCACACCCAAAATCCCAAGAGGAGAATTGAGAAGAGACTGCAGCATGGCCATTCCCCGAGGGGTAATTTCTTGCTTTTTGTCTCTCTGTCTCTTGTCTCCCCAGAGAGCACACATGCCCTATAGCAAAAATCTCTCTTAAAAAAAAAAATCCATTATCTTTATAAGGGCAGAAAACAAAATTGGATTCCTACCCAATACAATACACTAACAAAAAATAATTTTCTGATAGGTTCAAATGCAAAAAACAAAACTTTAAAAATTTTTATAATAGACAAAAGTACCTTTATGAACTCTGGGTTTGGAAAGACTTAAAATTAAGACAAAGGGCCAGCCCCATAGCACAGTAGTTAAGGGAGCTGGATCCTACATGGCCCACCACAGTTCGAAGTCTGGCCCTAGCATCTTGAAAAACACACTCAGCACTTGTGTGTGACCAAAATCCTAATAGGATGGAGGAAAAGGACAGCAATATAAC